GTTGAGGCAAGATGGAGCTAAACCCTGCAGGGACAACGGCCCTCCAGGACCAGGATTGGTGACCCCTGCTCTAGTCCGAATATCACTTCTTAAATCATTTCCAATCATATAATTCAATTAATAAAAGTAAAGAGATTGTCTTGTTTTCAGAAATTATGTCAAAATTAGGTGAGTTTGTGGCAGAGTTCAACTCTAATACACATCTCTGCAATTTCGTCGTACTGACACCATGTGAAACCATGTACACTTCATTGGCTCAAGATGATTTAAATAAAATGTTTGGTGTGACTTGACCGTTTATAACTTCAGCTTTGCGATATGATGTATTTCAATGTACAATCTATTTACTATTGTTTAGTCGTGGCCTGAGGAGAATACCGTATGTTTTTGAACATCTCTCCTCTCATCATCTCCTCAGCTTTCATGTGGTTTTGTGGGTTTGGTATTTCACTTTTGCTTGACAATGCTTTGCTCGGGGTATATGAAGGAATGTTTACCATTAATTAAGGAGAATGAATTTTACTCTGCTTTGCCCGCACGTATGTTTCCATCCACCTATTTTGCAAATGCGCATAAAAAACTGGAAACGCCATGATGCGCATAAATTTTGAAAATGCGCATAAAAAACCTATGCAGATGCGCATAAACTGCGATGGAAACACTTTTACCGCACTAACTCCAGCATGCGCATTAAAAAAGGTCATGTGATTTTGTTTAAAAAGATCATGTGATGCTTAAAATGTGTGTGAATGGACAAAACGTCAGGCTGAGCACATTATAAAACATCTGAAATGTTATTTTGGTCATTATCAAACGCCTAACCATTCCAGTATTAATGTTATTATATTATTAATGTCCTCCAGAATCAAGAGCGCCTGTGCTCCGCATCTGAAACCTTCAAACGCCTCTGCTCGCTCACTGCTTGTCAGTATTTTCTTCTGAGGCGCATTCATTTAAAAAAGATTGATGCAGCTTCTCCTACCGCAGCAAATGCAGTTTTACTGTTGTTATTTGGCGCCAGTTAATCAGGAAGTGACGATTTTTTTTTCGCTTTGACTTTTTGGATGGAAACTAGTGTGTACTGTTATCTGCTAACAAAGCAGTTTCACTTGTTACAGCAATGATACAGATAGGTCAGTGGGTTTCATTCCACTGTCTGTATATTTAAACATGTAACACAGTTTTTCTCCATTGGTTTGGTTCATTTCTTGAAATAGGAATTACATTCTCAAAATTCTATCATCTGGCAAAACAGTGTTAACACAACACTATAGCTCACTTGCAAAAGCTCATACCTTCCCCAAAACAGTTCACTCATAAGTCAAAACTAAATTTCCTTCTCATTTAAACAGTCAGTGCCCCCGAATGCTTCGTCCCTTTAGCGTTGTGTAAGTACTGCAAGTCAGATGTTAGGATGATTTGTCATTATGGCAAAGGACCACTAAAATATCCCTCATGTCCACCTTACAGTCTTAGCCCAGTCCTTCAATGACAATGTTCAATGTACTGTTTTTGTCTAGCTAACAGAGTACAAGAGTGTATAAAACTGAAAAAAAAGAAATAGGATTTTAGGGAATAGCCTCCAAGGCTATACGTCACATTATACTGCCAAGGAAATGTTAACTGCTTTTTTAATGTAGTGTTCAACCACACACAAAGTAATTTCCATATATCAGAACAAAAAGCTATAAAAATAAAAAGCTGTAATAAAATGTTCCATGGATTCACCTACTGCATGGTGTTCATGGTATAATGGTCTTGACTAATTTTGACAATCGATCAGACTATTGTGCATGTAATGACTTACACAATGAAATGACGCTGACACATTTTTCAGAGAACAACCATTAGTCTGAGAATCAACAACCAGTTTAGATCAATAAGATCAATTCACTTGGAAATTGTGCTAAATGTCGGCTCCCTGTACTTAATTATTTGCAAAGTTGTACTAAGACATTTGCAATTTGATGAAATGAATGAGAAATACAATTCTGTTGTGAACAGCTGTCAAGTGGTTTGGAGGTTTGTCCATGTTGTTCTGAGAATGTAATTGCTGTTTTAAGAAATGAGCCAAACCAATGGAGAAAAACTGTAATAAACAACTTTGCCTGCTTTAAAGCGTTGAGATTCTCTTTATTAAAGATGATAACAAATTTAACGGAGTAAATTACTATGTCGGTTTAACAGTATTGTATTGACAACAACTGTGCTGGAATTTCTATATATATATTTTTTACAATAAATGTACTACTTTTGTGTATTTCTGCTGTGTGAGCGGGTCACAGTATTTGTAATCATCTATGCAAGTCACTTAATAAATGAAGGAATGAACTGATGAATGAATGTGTCTGCCAGATGATTAAATGTAAATGCATTTGCTTGTACACTTAAAAATGCTGGGTTGTCGTTGTTGTGATTACATCCAAATGTTTAATAAAAAAAAAAAAAAAACTGAATGTTGGGTTTGTCCATATTTGACCCAGCATTGGGTTATTCATTCATTCATTTATTTTCGGCTTAGTCCCTTTTTTTATCTGAGGTTGCCACAAAGGAATGAACCGCCAACTTATCCAGCACATGTTTTACACAGAGGATCCCCTTCCAGCTGCAACCTAGTACTGGGAAACACCCACACACACTCATGAAACCGGAGCACCCAGAGGAAACCCACACCAACACGGTAAGAACATGCAAACTCCACACAGAAATGCGAACTGACCCAGCTGGGACTTGAACCAGTGACCTTGTTGCTGTGAGGTGATCGCACTTCACACTGCCCCACCGTGCTGCCCTTACCTTTATCTTCTTAATGTTAAATTTAAAGCAATAAATTTACAGATAAAAAAAACAAGTTCACAAACTAACTATGTACAGGGGTGTCCAAGCTTGGTCCTGGAGGGATTTTAGCTCCAACTTGCCTTAACACACCTGGAACAATGTGTCTAGAAAGCCTAGTTAGAGCTTGATTAGCTTGACCAGGTGTGTCTGATTGGGGCTGGAACCAAACTTTGCAGCACACCGGCCCTCCCGACTTTGGGCATCTTAATGTACAGTTAATCAGACATTTGTGTGAATAGGTTTTAACATTAATAATATATATATTTTTAAACAAATTTAATTCAACATCAGACTAATCTTGTCACCATTTTTCATAGGAATCAAATAAATGCCGTTTGTAAATTGGCTGCCATCAATTTTCACTGAGACATGAACAGGTCCTAGCCTTTGAGCAGCATTTGTGGATCTCTGCAGCCATCTGCTGGACAATTCATGAAAGGCTTTTGTTTCTCCCAGAATAAAAATGTACAGTTTCAGTTTTTCTCAGTCGCTTTGGTGCATTTCTCACAGCACTATTTACATTTGCACAACAGGTCATGCATTTCTCAAAACAATTAGTCATTTGTGCACATCCTAGTAGCAGTTTCTCATTTCTTCCTGCAGATGCTTTTGGACATGCATCATTTGCTTTCATTCAACTCTCTGCTGTTTATAACATTATCATTTGCTTATGTCATGTCAGTCAAAATGAACTAAACTTGTGAATGCTGAATAGTCATTCCATATAAAACTAACAGTCCTCATTTCATTACTTGAGTCTTTACATACAAAAATGGTTGTCAAAAAACTAGTTGTCAAAATCTGTCAAGCTAATTTTATAAAAAAAAATAAAAATAAATAAATCTTTACTTTTATGACAATGTCTTCTAAATTGAACAATTTGATGAATGATTTACAGACCTGTGTGAGTAGTAGGTTTAGTTCCAATATGTACTGCAATATTGTGTTGTGCACAGCTCTACCTAAAGGGAGTTTATGTTTGTTGTAAATAAGGGTGTGTTTATTCTTTTGCACAATGCTGTGAGTAAATTAGGATTGCAAAGAGCAAATGCAGTAAAAATGTGAAACATACATATTCAGTGTCTTGTACTCAGATAACTCACTCAATGCAGTGATGTCTCAATTTACTGTAGTTTTCAAATGGCTGTGCGAATAGTCTATAGTGCTGTCTTGAGTATTTTCAGCAAGTGTCACCAACATCTGACTTTTTTGCATTGAAAAAATGTACAGAATAAACTGTCAAAATGAAAACATGACCAAGCCATTTGACTATCTTGTTCATAAACAATGGTGTCAGGACTTTTCATTTTGATGACACTGACACTTTGATTGACATCAATACTTGCTTTTGAGGAATGAACTATCCATTTTGAGCATGTGACGCGCTTTTGCAGGTTATCAGCTAGGTTTTGCAGTTTGTACTAATTGTTTCGAGAAATGCATTAACTGTTGTGCAGAAATGCACTGGTTTTGTGAGAAACGTGCCAAAGCCACTGAGAAAACTGTATTAATACTATAATTGTATTATTTTATATATTTTTTCCCTTTCTAATATTTGTATTTGTATGAGATTTTATATTTTTTCTAATGACTATGTTTATTATTGACCTTTTTTTTTTTAAAGATCTGTCTGTGAGACTGCATAAGAAACTACTTTTAAAAATACCTCACAACATTTATGTTAGCTATTATACATTATCTAAATGTATGCTGACTGATGGAAATTGCTCATTCTGTTTAAATCAGCAAGACTTATCGTTGTATGTCCAAAAAAAATAAAAAATAAAATAAAAATAAGGTTTTAGTCTCTTTATTAATCTGGTCGCCACAGCGGAATGAACCGCCAACTTATCCAGCATATATTTTACACTGTGGATGCACTTTCAGCTGCAACCCATCTGTGGGAAATATATTTTGTGTCAAACAATTTATCTGTGGAATTTATAATGAATCTTTTAATTTTATTTGGTAATTTTTGTATTCATAAATGTAGATAGAATAACTTTATACCTTGTTTAAAGGATTCTATTACAGATTTTTATTTGTACTTGCTCCAGTAGATAGATAGATTGATGTGCGCATGCTCAGTAGTCGCACATTCTCTTTTTAACCGTTTTCAAAACTTCAACAGGAACAGTGAAATTAAACCGGTTCATCCACATTTCCTCATCAACAGATCTCGCTTTTTTCTCCGGCAACTGAGCGAGCTTTGACTGATTTCGGACTAGGCCTGCAGCAGGACCTGCATCACTGCCCGGTACTGTTACATTGAGCTCTATTTTAACAGTTATATCGTCTTTACACAGTTATTATCATTTTATTTTGTGCGTAATCGACACTAACTCCTTCCGGAAGCATTTACCTGTGTGAAAATGTAAACAAAAGCGTAATAATTAACTGACAATATAAAACCAAACGCCTTTAATTTCTACTTTTCAACATTTTTTTCTGCTCAAATCCGCATGTGTAGGCTAACAACAAAAAACGTCTCAGACTTTTGGTAATGAAAAACTGTTGTCAATTGACAATGTTTTGATTTAGCTTTCCTGAAATGTTCTTAATTTATTTATTTTCATACCATTTTATACGATCGTAATTACCCCTTTCTTTGTTTTGTTAGTCTTTTTTCTCTCTGCAGTTCATAACTTGTATTTCCCTCTTATATTGATCTCCTGATTGTGGCTGTTTTTTTCATTCATGAATAATAATAAAAAATAAAAATAATACATAAATAAAACCTACAATCTTAATGTAGCCTATAGCAGATAATTTTATAAAGTTTTACTTAAAAAAACACTACATTTAGCCTACATTATTAATTTTGTAGCATTAATTTTTGCCTACCATAGCAATCAACTGAATTATACATGTTAAACTGATAAATCACATTGTGATGTAAATGTTAAAGCAAACGTGTTAAAGCAAAAGGTCAACAGTATTTAATTAGATCTTGCTTGCATTTATAAATCTTTATGTACACTGTTAAAATAGTTGGGTTAAAAATACCCCAACATATAACCCAACTATAGGTTATTATAGCACCTTCCCAACTATGGGTTATTTCAACCCAATGCATTGGGTTATATAATTTAACCTAATGCATTGAGTTATTTAGATTAAATGTTATTTTTTCCATTCTGGTATTACTATTATTCTGGTACTACTGTTAATTTAAAAATTATGGCTGTGTAAATAACTAGCGTACCGTTTTTTTTAAATATAGAAAACGCTTTATTTCCATTACATTTTATAATAAGTTAAAAATGACAAACAAGAAACAGAACAAAGTAGACAGAGAGGTAATTTGATTAAAAATTTACAATATTATGGCGTTATAGATTAAATAAACTTTATAAAGCAAAAATTGTATTATGCATGCATAATACAGCTGTTTTGAGTCAGTTTAATCAGTTGACAATTAAAATAAAAATTTTTAACCCAATAGTTGGGTTATTAAATAAATAACAAAATAAAGGTTAAAAATAACACAACAAAGCACCAAATATTTAACTCAACTGGTTCATTTATCAATAAATAAACTAATAAAGGTTAAAAAATAACCCAACAAAGCACCAAATATGTTAAAACTCAACCATTGGGTTAAATAAATAACTCAACGTTTTTTAGAGTGTAGTTTTGCAATAAATACAACCTTAAACATATTAAGATTTTAAATGTTTCCTACTTTTATTTTTAAACTTTTTTTTTAAATCCATTAAAGTACCATTTGATTTTGTTAGTTTTGAGATGAACACTTCATCTATACATGTGATTGTCTTCAGAAGCATGTTTTATTGTGCTGGTTGAAAATCTCTTCACATTCCAATAGTGATGATTAAAGTAAATCATCTATGTGTTTAATTGTATTTTTATATTTTGGGTAAGGCATAAAGCTAAAAAAATGTTTATCCAATTAAATATTGTCGGCCGACATCTCCCATAATTCAGATAAGTAGCTCAAACTGTCTGTCAGCAAATGTAAATTTGTACATATGCGCACCCCTGTTCATGCAGATCTGCTGTTTGCACGTGTACACAAGAGATAGCAAGAGAGAGAGAGAGAGAGAGAGAGAGAGAGAGAGAGAGAGCGGTAAAAACAAATGCTCTTTAAAACTTTAAAAAACTTTTAAAAAACTTTTTAAAATCCTGAATCAATACTGAAGTGAGTTTTGCCAGCTGGAGGAAGGACGACACCATGGCTGAAGAATTTCTTTTAGACAGGTAATGCTATATTTTACAGCTATTTTATTCCACCAAAGTTGATGTAGATTGTGCCGTTATAAATGGGTTATATGCACATTATTGTTGAAATCTCCTGCTGAATGATTGATGTGAGTATTTTCAGTTTCATAAAGGCCTTTTACAGCATCGATGAAGTCGGTTTATATTTAGTTTAACAACAAAACACCAGTAAATAGTGCTATTCCGCCAACCTGCTTTACTGAGCTGAAGCTTACTGAGGTTTTATTTTCACATTGGTTCATTTTTGAACAATGACAACCTGTGTTAAGGCTTGTACACACTGGGACCATTTTCGTTTGCGTTTATCGTCAGCATTTTTTTCCGAGACGTTACCACAATTTTTAAATTCGATACAATACCGATACTTTTTGTTAGAATTTTTACGATACCGATATCAATATCACTTATTATTAAAAATATTAATGTAATTTTTCAAAATAATGTTAATTAAAAAAATCATTACATGTAAATATATAAATGTTTGTGTGTGTGTGTGTGTGTGTGTGTGTGTGTGTGTGTGTGTGTGTGTGTGTGTGTGTGTGTGTGTGTGTGTGTGTGTGTGTAATATACACGCACACACACACACATCCATATTTTATATACACACTGCATACACATACATACTGAATATACACATTGCACAGATACACACACACCCTTATATTTATTCTTATTCCCCTAATACTGTTTTCTCATTTAATATTCGGTTTCCCTAGGAACTGTGTCACAATATGACAAAAAATGTTCACAGCTTCAGGTTCATGTGGACTTTTTGCCAATAAGTGTCAGGATTCTGTCTTGTCTAGGTATGTTGTGCTTGCCTTGAGTATTCTCAAGTCGGGCATTTATTTTCTGTCATTGTATTCGTCTTTGTTCGAGCGCCCTCTCAGCCGCACTTGGGCCGTGCACGCACTTGTCCTGCCCTGCTCCTCCCTGCCAGCCCAGTCAAGTTTGTTTTTGTGTTTACGTTATGTTTTTGTTTCCTTTTTGTTTAATTTTTACTGTTATTAAATACCCATTATTGACTGCAATTCAGTCCTCGTTCTTTCCCCAACCACACCCGTGACAATAACCTCTTTTTTTTTCATCCTCAGGCATGTCAACGAAAGAATCAAAGCCAAATCTCAGCCATTCGCAGGCTACAGACATTCTCAAGCGACTCTATGGGTTAACCACGTCTGTCATTCGACCACTGCCAAGTTATATTGATCAGAACTTCTATGTGGCCTCCAGTGAGGGTGGAGAGTATGTCTTAAAAGCAATGAATTCTGCAGACAGTCAAGACATTGCTGTTATTAAGGTGCAGACTTACTCGATGGCCTTCCTAAACCAAAGAGGCCTTCCTGCGCAGATCGCTTTACCCACACTGACTGGACAAATGATGAGCCTGGAGGAAATCGGTAGGAATACTGCAAAATGTAAACACATCACAAAGTAATTGTAGGTCAAAGAGTTTAACGGATTGATTGCTTGTATTGCAGATTGTGGTTTTGGCACACAGACATATTTAGTCCGCTTGCTTACCTACATGCCTGGGACCACCATATGCAAAATTTCCATCAACACTCAGATTCTGTACGACATTGGGAAAATGGCCGCCACTTTGGATACAGTTTTACTGCAAGTAAGGTCTCTTATTGCATTACATGATTAACATAATTGTAGAATAATGAATTCTGCCCTGTATTGTGCTGAAGGGTTGACACCCCTGAGATTTTCAAGGGCCAGTGTTCTGTCGATTTGTCCTACCTTGTCAGATTGACCTACCTCCCATTTAAAAAGTAGGTGTAGCACATTTTGATGATGAAATATGCAACCCATCAGATTGTAAATTTGTTGTAAAAAAACAGTGTAAATTTTGGTGTGGAGTGGTGTGATATGAGGCTTATATCATCCGTAACCAACCCAAGCTCATTCTGAAAACGTAGTCCGCGGACGTTTCTGGAGACAGCGGATTACGTCCCGGGGGGTACGTACGGCCGCGTTTATTTTTTTCAAGTGAACGCTGCGGGGCGGTGTGACGCTGTTCCCTTTCGCGCTTGCCTTACCTCCTTGTGGAGGGCTTCCCCGCTGCAACCCGTTTGTCCACTCAGCTCAGCGTGTACGTCGGCAGGCTCGAGATGCAGAGAAGGGTCGACCACGGCGACCGGTTTCGAGTCCGGGGAAGAGTAGTTCCAGCAATCAGGTAAGACAAAAACAGAATCCCAAAAATTAAGTGAACGAGTTTCGTGACAGGGTGAGAACGCAGCGAAATCCGAAAACGCGGTGGAATAAAAAAAAATCAGGGCTTTTATTTTTTTTGGATGGCTTTTGTGAACTGTTGCTCGGGTTTAGGGAAGCGAGCAAGCGGCCGGGTCGATCAGTAAAATTGGTTGGGTTCGGGGAAGGAGGAGGGCGAGTCGGCCGATTGGCCGGTCGCGCAGTCAATCATCCGGTCAGTGGCCTCTGGCGGGTTCACGCGAGAACAGAGCGGGCGCAAACCGCACTCGCGAGAGGCGACTGAGGTGCGAAAAAGCACGCAACAGCGGCCTCTCATGGATTCGCGAAAACAAAAACTGCAGCCGTACGTACCCACCGGAACATATTCCGCGGTCTCCAGAAACGTCCGCGGTACTACGTTTCCACAATGAGCCTGGGTTGTCCGTAACCCACCCAAATCCTTAACACTGATTTCAGAACAATTCAAATACATTGTCGGTATAGTGTCGGTAACATAATTGATTGGATAAAATGTCAGAACCTTGGCCGTAGCCAATTTAGTGCCCTAGGCATGATTTTACCTGGTGCTCCCTAGCAGCAACATACCACTCTGAAGTAACTGAAACTGCAATTCATTGAAATTCTAGTAGACATGGCCCCAAAACAGAGCACATTTCTATTGACCCCAATGTTAAAGTCGACAACTTTACAGCAGAAAAAAAGGTGTTTACAGGAGTGGCCAACCCTGTTCCTGGAGAGCCATCTTCCTACAGATGTCAGTTGCAACCCATATCAAACACACCTGCCTGTAATTATCACGTGGTGTTCAGGTCCTATTTAATTGGTTCAGGTGTGTTTAATATGGGTGGCAACTGAAATCTGCAGGAAGGTAGATCTCCAGGAACAGGGTTGGCCATCCCTGGCCTATTACAAAGAACAATTTTGGTGTATTTAGCCATAGTCCTTTTAAGGCAAGTAGTTTCAATCAGCGGCCATATGGGGAAACATCAAATTCTCAGAAAATGCTTGCCAAACTCACGATTAAATTTCATACTAGTAATCACTCTCTTCAGTTTCATTTCAAAAGGTTCGAATGGCACAATATCTCCAGCAACACACATCTATCTGGTCTGAGCTCCTCCCCCTGACAATTGCCACTCTATATTATGGTTGATTGGCTCCTGGACTAGTAGGCGGGGCTTCATTTGCCATATCACTTTTCCCTATTGAAAACTATACAAGTGACACTTCTTGTGTGTTCCATAGTTTTTGATATAGCTAATATTACCCTTCATGAAAACTGTAAGAGGGGTGAATTTTTTTATAACTCATCTGTTTCATTCAGGTCTGCAAGACAATGGCGAACTTACAAAATGCCGGCAGTTGGCCCCGCAAACTTGTAGCTTCATTTGCTCTCTTCACAAAAACCTATAACTGACATTACGTCCATATATTTTACAGTGTATGGGTGCCCCTTGTGTTATAGCCATGGTCACAGCTCGTTCCATCAAAATTCACTGTACTCAAACATTTAACCAGTACCTACATAGGCATTGCTTTGTCTTTTTTAACACACACACACTGATAAAATAATTTAAAATGAAAACATAATTTTTTTTTGACTATTGGTATTTATTGTTTCCCATTTTATATCCTGTATTTGTGCATTTGATAATTTTCTTACTGTTTCTTGTAAAGATGGAGCATCCAAACATCAGTGTCCTGCAGAGAGACAATTTTATTTGGAGTCTCACCAGCATTCCACTCCTATACCAGTATATTCACGTGATGGATGGGGATCCGGTACAAAAGGTTGTTAAAGCTGTTATAGAGCAATACCAGGTCCAAGTCAGGCCAAAACTACCACTGTTTCGCAAGTGTAAGTTGTTATTTATTCTTTTTATACAACGCCGTTGTATAAAACGCCAACGCCGTAGCATACGCTTGCGTTTGACACAGAAATATAAATCAGCCTTTAAGGTGGGCAACAGTACGGGGACTTTGTTGTTGCATATTGTATTTCAAAATGTATCACACATACTCAATTGGAGACAGGTCGAGACTGCAGGCAGGCACACTACACATTTCCACTATGTGATGGTCCATCCTAGATGCCTCCAAGTAACTGTATTGTCTCCCTCAACAGTCAGGACTTTGTAATATGTGCAGAATTGGGTTTTGCATTGTCTCTTTGGAATATGCTTGGGCGTCCCTGGAAAAGAAGGCAGCATTTTGTGCTTTAAAATCTTTATGTACTTTTTAGCATTATTGGTGTCACTAAAGTGCAAGTTACCTCTGCCAGGGGGCACATAACCATGATAGACCCTGGTATTTGGACTTTGCTGGTGGTAACAGTCTGGATGATAATTTTCCTCTGTGGTTCAAAGTACACGTTGTCCATTTCTTCCAAAAGATGCCTTAAATACTGGTCCATCCCAGATGCCTCAGAGCCCGGAGAAGTCGATAGCGATTCTGGACACTGTTAACATAGGGCTTCCCACTGTCATTTGTGAATGTAACTATGCATTGTGGTACTTCGTCACAAGGTTTTGCTGCAGTAGTCCTGAGCCCATGTGGTGATATGGCTTATAGATGAATGAGGATTCTTGATGCAGTGCCGCCTGAGGGATCGGAGATCATGGTTGTTCAGATTGGTCTTGCACCCTTGTCCTTTAGGCACTAAAATTCCTCCAGATTCCTTGAATCTTTTAATGATATTCTGTACTGTCGGAGGTGAAATATCCAAATGTCTTTCTCTCTTTCTCTGATGAACAATGTTTTTAAACATTTCAATAATTTTCACATGTATTTGTTGTCAAACTGGCGATGCTTGGTCCGTCTTTGCTCCTAAAGGACTAGACCTTTCTTGGATGCTGCTTTTGTACCAAATCCTAATTACTATCACCTGTTGACATCACCTGTCTTACATCACATCATTATTTAACCAATTTACCTGAATACTAGCCCTAAACTGCTCATGTCCCAACTTTTTTTGTGGGGTGGATCAAGCAAAACATCAAATAATTTGTGTTCATATTGTCTGCAATGAAATAAAAGGCAAAGTAAGTTTAGAAATGACAGCTGCCTTTTTTATTTGTGTTTTCCTACGGCCCCATTTTTGTTCTGATTTGGGGTTGTAGATTAATTTCAAAGTCAACATGTTTTATTCTTATTTGTCTTTATTGCTTTGCAGGCATCAACCACGGAGACTTAAATGACCGTAATCTCTTGGTAAAACCCGATGGACCCTCAAAATATGCGATCTCTGGAATCCTTGATTTTGCAGACATGAGCTGTGGGTATTTCATATTCGAGCTGGCCATCACTATCAGGTACATGATGACTGAAAGTCCCAATCCATTAGATGTTGGAGGGCCAGTGGTGGCGGGATGGGAAAGTGTTTTTCCTCTCAATGAGGCAGAAAGAGACTCGCTCTACTGGCTGATTCTGTGTCGGTTCTGCCAGTCCCTGGTTATAGCTCGCTACACTGTGATCCAGCAGCCCGAGAATGAGGAATATGTGAGGATGGCCTCCAAGAATTGTGTGCAGCATCTTAGCCGTCTTTGGGAGCTGGGTAAAGATGAAGTTGAAAGAAGATGTTTTCAGAATGCGGCACAGTTCAGCCAATCTTGACCGAGAACCAAAGCACAAACATATGGACAAATAGATAGTAATAATATGTAAGAATATGTATCATTCTGTAATGCATAGGCTGGTCAAGCTGGTTTCAGCTGGTCAGCAGCTAAGACCAGACTGGAAATGGTTGGAAACCAGCCTGGAAATGGCCAAAACCCCTCTAAAACCAGAATGTTCAACCAGCTAAAACCAGCCAACCATCCTAGGCTGGTTTTTGTTTCTTTCCGCAACACTTAAAAGCTGTTTAGGGACTGAAGACATCATGTGATGAAGTGTTTCAGGTGTAATTTTGTCCCACTCTTCCTTCAAACAAATCTTAAGGTAGGCAACAGTAAGAGGTCTTCGTTGTTGCATTTTGTGCTTCAAAATGTGCCACACTTTCTCTATTGGACACAGGTCAGGACTGCAGGCAGGCCAGTCAAGTACCTGTATCCTCTTCCTCCTAATATGTAAAGTTTAATTTTAAACTAATTTCGAGTAGAGCATGTGCTCATGATTGACCCAGCTGGTCCACATTAGCTAATCATGATCCTCCAATCAAAGGATCCCAAGTCACTATATATATATATCCTCATTTCCTTTCTACAACTATCTTCGTCTGGAAGAAACCCCTCTTCTCCCCTTCTTCCACCTTTATCTAGAATAGGTGTCATGGTGGCCCAGTGACTAGCACTGTAACCTTATAGCAAGAATACCAATGGCGTTTGGTCCTCACTGGGCCATCTGGTATTTCTGTGTGGAGTTTGCATGTTCTCCCCGTGTCCGTGTGGGTTTCCCCCGGGTTCCCCGGTTTCCTCCCACCATCCAAATGTGCTCTATATTTAAAATAAGCCTAAATCTTTTTCTAATGTCTTACTCTCAGGAAGTTCGCCTTGGCCTCAGCAGCGGGGGGAGTTTGAGATCGACCTGAACTCAATCTCCCCTCGGCCTGCGAAAGGGGGTAGGCCTGGGCTCGAGGATCCCTTGAGCTCAGGGCTCTCTCCCAGGACAGCACGCCAAACAAGCTATGTATAAATAGTAAGCTAAGTGTGAACTCTTGAAGTGCAGATTGTGGTTATGCATTGTCTTAAAATATGCATGGGCGTCCCTGGAAAAGATGTCTTCTTGAAGGCTCCAAAATCTTAATGGAGGCAAAATTATTTTCCTGAGGGCCAGTTTAACAATTAAACACTTCTGAAGCAGCTAAAAAAGAGATGGAAACATCCAGGAAAGTGTGTTGGAGATAAATGTTGGAGGTAACAGCACTTCAAGGACAAAGATCACAACTGCATTATAGTACACTCAGCTAAGTGGAGCAGTTGACTGCGTTTTTGACCACATTTCACTTTTTATAAGATTATTCTGAAGCATTAATGTAAAAAAATAATAGTAATAATAATAATAGTAATAATCATTATGATAGATTATTTGAAAAAGGTAAAAGGACTTTCACTAAATAGTACTTTTATTTAAAAATGTCGTTAATAAAACTTTTATTCGTTAATAATCATAATAATCATTTATATTGTATACATGTTGTTTTTATTATTTAGGACATTTGTAACTTTTTAACATTATTTTGTTACACATTTAAATTTTTTTAAATGTACATGGCACATCAATTGTATAGTTTTATTCTAGGAAACAAAACCTTTATGAATTGTCCAGCAGATGCCTGCAGAGATCCACAAATGCTGCTCTAAGGCTATTAAACTGAAACAAAACAAAAGACAAAACCCCTGCTGTATTCCTCAAAGCTTTCTAACACACCACACAATGTCAACATCTTGTTGTGAAAAGGTGAACATATGTTGCAAGTCCCAAAAAGGACCTGTTGCAATGAATATAAATAGGAAATACATGTATATTTTTGATTGATTCATGTAAAGTTATTTTTAAAAAATTTTAAATAATACATAATAGTAAATAAATAGTGGCAATACTGGCCCAGGCAAATCCTTTGTTTAGACCTCAGCTTAAAAACGAGACCATATGGTATCTGCGGTACTACCGGGTGTAAATGGAGGTAGTGCATGTATAAGCTTATTTGACCTTCTATGAGGATAGAGTGTTGATAAAGATGATTGTGATTCATTCTTGTGACTTGCAGAAGTCATCTGGAGGATTCAGAATATTTATTTCATCAGGATTTTTCTCTTATAGTTAATTAAATTACAAAAATATTAATTTAGTGGAGGACCTATTCCAAGAAAACAACCCTTGTGTTATCTCTAAACAACATTTGCAGTAAAAAAAAAAGATGCATTTGCTGTTTAAAACCACAAATTTTGTTTAAACTTGGAAAATACTTCTAAATATGTATATAAGTAAATGTTATAGTGAGCTATTAGAGTGAATTGTTAATTAAACATACTAATGTCCATGTCCATCATAGTGATGGTACATTGAATGTTGGTAATCCTGTACCAATATGGCGGCGGTGTTGACACATGCTCAGGGCAGGTATGCGATATCTAATTTACTATATCTATGGTGATGGTGAAGAAGTTTCCCGAGGCACCAAGCGTTCCCCTCAAGTGCGTAAAAGGGCTAAATGCTCGACGCTTTCTAACCTCACACAGCAAACAATATCGACATCTTGTGGTGAAAAGGTGGAGATATCCCAGTTGCTGAGTTAATGTGTATATTTTTGATTGTTTAAAGTAAAACTAAGCTTTAAAAATAATAAACAATCAATACATAATAATAAATTGATAAATTCTGTGTGGATATAGTAAACATTAGCTTGATAATGATTGATACAAGCTTCAAAGCCTCGCCGCGTCAAATCACTACAACAGACGTCAACACAGCAAGCACGGATTAGACTTTGAGTGACGTTCCTTTCCACCAATAGCGTTTCAGAACATCTATCATTCGTCCATTCAGGGGCAGGTGGGCGTGAGCAAAGGATTAGGGAAGATATTAGGGTTGTATTGAACTGAACGCTGCTGTATTTTATTAATATTTACAGAATAACGCTAGAGTCGCAATGGTGTCGCACTCGCTGGTTTTACCCATGATCGGCTTCACCACACTGTGGGGTTTGGTCGGGATCGTCGCTCCGTTTTTAGTACCGAAAGGACCGAACAGAGGGTGAGGAGAGATGCTGCAGCAGGCCATCCATCCATCTTTAAACACACAACCATTCATTACAGTACAGCAATGTCATTTAAATGTTGTTACGATGTTATTCAGACGTTGATATTTGACGTGTCTTTATTGCAGCGTCATCATAACCAGTTTGGTGCTAACCGCAGTTTGCTGCTATTTATTGTGAGTATACTGACAAAATAATGCCCATTTAGACTGTCGATTTACTGAATAAGATGTTTTTAAACATATTTTCTAATATTTTGGTAATTAAGACATTATGTCGGTATGTGGGTATGCTAATGAAGGATATATTCCCAAAACAGGTTAAAATAAGGTATTGTTGACATGCTAAGCTACTAATTTGGGTAAAATTGAGGTAAAGTTGGTTTTATATTCACACATTCAGACTTTCTCCTTAATAACAATGTCAGAAGAGTAATCTTTGCTATATATAGTTAATAATACAGTGTGATGCACTAAAGTAAATTATACTAGTACACTACATCACAGTTTACTGTAGTAAAAACTGATAATATAGTATTTATTACAGCTTATCAGTTTAGTATAGTTAATACTACAGTGTGCTGTACTATAGTTAATTATACTAGTATACTACATCACAGTTTACTTTAGTAAAAACTGATACTACAGTATTTAATACAGTTTATCAGTTTAGTATAGTTAATACTACAGTGTGCTGTACTATAGTGAAACTATATAATACTACATAGTTCATACTATAGTTATTCATTTAAACATATTTTTACTAATATTTTTTGGTAATTAAGACATTCTCTGTCGTGTGTGTATGCTAATATATGATACAGTCCTAAAAACAGGTTAAAAAAGGTATTGTTGACAAGATACTAAGATACTAATTTGGGTAAATGGAGTTAAAGTTGGTTTTATAGTCACACATTCAGGCTTTCTCCTTATTAATATAATCTCAGAAGAGTATTCTTTGCTAATTTTATATAGTGAAATCATAGCACCAGCCAACAACTATCAAATACAACATTGTTCACAGTCAATTAAACGGTGCTAACGTTGTTACTTACTTACTAAAGTCATAATTGCACTCGGTTTTAGACCAAAAATTCTCTCAAAGGTAGCGTGGTTAACAATTTAAGGACCATGTCAAAAGTTGTCACTGTTTAAAAATGAAAGAATGCTAAAATAAAAACAATTATACCTCAATAAGATACTATAGTATTTACTAAATATACTTTTTGAGCCATACTATAGTAAAGTACTTCAATTAATCTGCTGTGGTAATTCTAAAGCTGTGATGGCAATACAACTACTATAGTAAATATAAACAAATGACCCAATTCAATATATGGTATATTACACTACACTACATCACAGTTTACTGTAGTAAAGTTCAATATAGTATATACTACAGTATGCTGTACAATAGGTAAATATACTAGTACACCACATCACAGTTTACTGTAGTAAAAACTGATAGTACAGTATTTAATGCAGCTTATCAGTTTACTATATTTAATGCTACAGTAGGCTGTACTATAGTTAATTATACTAGTACACTACATCAGTTTACTGTAGTAAAAACTAAAAATACAGTATTCATCACAGTTTATCAGTTTACTATAGTTAACACTACAGTATGCTGTACTATAGGTAATTATACTAGTACATTACATCACAGTTTACTGTAGTAAAAACTGATAGTACACTATTTAATACAGCTTATCAGTTTACTATATTTAATACAACAGTATGCTGTACTATAGGTAATTATACTAGTACACTACATCAGTTTCCTGTAGTATAAACTGATAGTACACTATTTAATACAGCTTATCAGTTTACTATATTTAATACAACAGTATGCTGTACTATAGGTAATTATACTAGTACACTACATCAGTTTACTGTAGTAAAAACTGAAAGTACACTATTTAATACAGCTTATCAGTTTACTATCCGCTTGTTAAGTGTGACGTCATGCGAAGCGGCTTCCGGGTCCAAGCGCTCTATTCAACTGAATGGGGAGACTCATGAAATGGTAATAATAAACGTTTACAAAGCGATTTAAGGCTTTCGAAAATCACGATCGCAGTATATATGTCCATGCCTAATATCCGATGGCCAGAAAGTGATTAATTTTTTAATAAATTGTTAAATTTTCGGTATTTGTTATGCAGCAAGCCAAGAGATTGTTGTTTACACTATGATTTTATATAAAAATTAACTTTATTGTGTGATAGGAATAAAACGTGATCATAAACGAATGATTTCTCCACTCAACTAAATGTCGGCTTGGACCCGGAAACAGTATTACATACGTCACAAACACGTCACCACTTAACAAGCGGATAGAT